TTCAATGCCTCCACTTCATTGGTAGTCCCCTGGCTAAGTGATTTTCTTTCTTGTACGGATAACAACACAGGTGCTTTATCTCTTCGATGTTCCTCTGTTGTATAATGCTCCTAGATTATTGAACAACTCCATCAGACAAAGCCAGAGGTCTTCAGGGAGCTCTGCAGCCTGTTCCTATCCCTGTTAATAGTGCGCAGCTTCTGTATTACATCCTGCAACATCATGTTCATCCTGTTGCAAGAGTTAGACTAGCATTAAGCTAAGATACAACATGAAGTTGATTAAACCGCAAAGTTAATTCAAGTAACTCTTTACAGTCGTTCTTTCAGACCTTACTGTCATCCTATTTAAGAGAATGCAGTATTAAAGCAATGGTAAGAAGTTATTCCTGATTATTGTTTGAAACTGTTATTAATCACAATTATAGAGGAAAAGACCAACTCCTATAACCAGTATTGCACCTTTAAAGTCCCACACTTATTGTACGTTTTTAACTTAGAGTGTTCTTGGTGGTCTTCCAATTGTGATTATTAAGTTTTTCGCCAAAATCACGTTACCTGTGTCATTTCCAAGGGCTTTTCTTCTGCAGAGCTCCAGTAGCTCATTGGCAAGTCACCTATGGAGTCACCTATCACCTATGGTGGAGACAGCGCTGCTCTGCACACTCCTCTTCACGCTAGCTTGCATTCTAACATTGCTGGTGCAGCAGAAGAGGTTGGTAATATAAGAGCAATTCAGCTTTTGGACACTGATGTCTTTATGAGCATTGCAATCCGCTAACGCTCACGTTTGTTCCGTTGTCGTCCTCTCCACTTTTTGAAGTCTGGCTCGCAGAGCAGGGCACAGGAGGTGGAGCTTGAAATTGTGACATAGAAAATCCCACTGTGTCTGAACCATAGACTGTATATAGAACGGACGACGTCTGCCTCCTCGCTGGGTGAAGCCACCGCGAAAACAGCACCCTCTGGTGACAGGCTGCTGTGTAGGTTATAAAACCTGCCCCCTTCAGCAATCTCTAAGGGGACATATAAGACAAACTTTGGTCACGATATTGACATGTAGTTATTGTAAGACTGGTTTGTGCTCAAGTCCTCTTTTTTCTGTGCAGCTCCATTTTTAAGTTATTATTATAATTGACACCTGACGAAGCCTATGGGCGTACAAAGATTGCGTAGCTCACCCGAGGGATACACTGTTTGAGCCGACCATCATCATAGCGGCTCTCCCACTGAATGTGTACAATGCTACTGCGCAAGTGGTGGTTCCAGGAAGTGGAGAAAATCCCGCAAATACCGAGAGCAACTCGGTGCTTCAGATTGGTATAATGATGGAAGGTGGAGCCAAGTTGTCCATAGTATATACAGTCTATGGTCAGAACCTGCCATTTGGTTCACAATGATTTGAATGCAATAATATTCAAAAATGCGGTTTTGCTCTTGGTTCTCTCACGATATGTCTTGTAGCATCAGAAAAATACCATATAAACATGTAGACAACAAGAAAAACATGATTTTCATCGGAGTGGGTCTTTATATGGCAATGCAAGGGCTGCATGCTGCACATCATAGCACCATTCATCCATCATAACCAGACTATAAACCACTCAGCTACACACAAAAACAGCATCATGTTCACATATACAAGTCTAATTGTTCCAGGGTTTTTGAGTGATTCTGTGGCACCACTCCATGTTTGAGTTCTCCTTCAAAATCACTTAGAATTACAGCCACATGGACATCATCATCCCCAAGGTCTGGGATGTAAAAGTGTTAGTAGGCATAAATAAAGCACAAGTGCAATAATGCCATGTGTATTGCATGAGAGGGCACAGGATCTCTGAGTGCTTGTGTTCCTATCGCCTGGGCTTCAGCCTTGATTGATGAAGCGATTGAGGCTGGGGAGTTTGCTACAAATCAGCGGTGTTGTTATGAGGGCTGGCCTGCCACGCTTGGATCTCTACTATGTCTTTACTGCTCTGCCCAGGGACAGAGATTTCACAGCGATATCTGACCTCTACGGTCAAAGGCAGGCTGAGAAATGTTCTTATGCTGACCACTGAGTAAAAAAAAAATACTCCCTTCCACTTTGCACATGTGGACATACACATATACACAACCCTTTACCAGCAGTGCTCAGCCCAGCCTCTTTCAAGTCCTGCAACTTGAGCACACAGGCGCACACCCAGTTCTTGCCCACACCCTCCTCCCACTGCCAATAAAAATATGAAGAATGAAGACAGCGAGACGGAGCTTTTCGCGCCGGCACAGGGGGGGTTTGGGTAATATTCAGACAGCTTTGCCTCAAGCCATGAAATCAAACAGAAGCTCCCAACAGAGTTAGATGTCTGTTATTAAAGGCTGTTCTTTCACTGTCAGGGTCAGCTCAGACCCTCTCATACCCATTCCCAGTAAAAAAAAAAGAAGAGGAATAAAAACCCACAATGGTATAAAAAGAAAAAAAAACAAGAGCATGGGTTGAAAGTATGCTCGTATACAACAAATATTTCAAAGAAACCCTATGAAATAAGATCCTGCTCCAGAACGAGATGATATGATGCCCACATCTTAAAGTTTGAAGTCATTTGATCTCTTTTTATTTTTCTGTCAGGAACCACGAAGGGTTAAACAGGTTTGTTTAGCCCTGGAACTAATGTGCACTCGAAGTTCATGAAAGTAGGTGAGTTTACATCCACAGCCCTGAATATATGCAGCACACGATACATGAATTGGATTTCTAAAGCACTACCCTACAGCCAATATTGCTCGACATCAGAGAGGTACTTGAGCACAATAGGAGTCTGTTTATGTCTCCTATGGTCATACCATGGCCAAAACCCCATTTTAAAGAAAAATAGTACAAGAAGCATAATGTAGTTTATAATTTGGTACAATCATAGACAAATACAGCATAACTTAAAATGGACGAAGATCAAAGATTGTCTGAGCAAAACAAATCAAGCAGAAATATAGTTGATGCAGTTTACATCAGATTACTTTACTCATGGACTTTTTGCACTCCCCAAATGTTTTCAGAAATATGTTGTCCAAACAATGATTTTTTTTAAATTAAAGCATACCTCAAAATAAATAAGATAGTTGGCTCTTTCTGTGAGGTGGGGGTGAAATGGAAAAGGTGCCCTTTAAAAAAAAAATCACTTTCTTTGTGACCTAGTTTTAGGATAGGCCAGGCGGTGTAGCTTGTTCTATAATCTAGAAAAATACATTTTGAACTGCCTCCTGATGATCGTCCTCTACACATCTAATTGGCGAATGCCAAGATGGTGCCATGTTTAAACTGCTTCTCCTGCTTACCCTGCCTGCTGCAACCACTCTGCAACCCACCTCCACCCCATCTCCTCCTGTTTATGTTGTGTCTGATCTTACCAGTGTCATATGTATTTCACTGATGCTTGCTCTGCCCTGTGGGAGGATTTTAATTTATTTAATTATATTTATTTATCTTGATGCTACTAAGTGTGGTCTGAGGATAGGGTAGCTTACTTTGTCAGGTAAATCGTGCCCTTTAAAACTGACAACTACTTATGTAAACGCAGTTAAAAGACAGATGGGTCTTTTTGTAAGAAACAAAAGGGAATTGTGAAACTTACTACCTCTTAAAATGTAAAGACAGGAGGGTTTCTCCAAAGTAGAAACACACAGTCTGTCAGCTAGGTACTTTAACCAGAGTGGCAGACTGCTTCCATAAATGTAGACAAGAGATTTTTTGCCAAGGAAGGTATCTTATTTTATTAGCTCAACAAAAATCTCATCTGCCAAAGCAGTCAGTTTGGGCATACAGAGTCATTCTCCATTCAGCCCTCTAAAAAGAGCTTAAAATATGAAGGGTGGGGTACAACATTGGTAGCTTATTCTGCAAAGGAAAAACTTATAAAACTGACAACTACCTGTTAAGAGCAGGCAACATACACATTTAAAAACTTAATTCCTACTCCTACAGGTAAGGTAGGGTAAAAGAAAAGTTAATCATCCTGTCAGATATTTAAAGCACCTGTAAGGGGCTTTTGGTTTGCATGAATTTTAGCACCCCCTTGTGGACAGAGCGATCTTTGCTTGCACTATGAAGAGTTTTAACTGGGTTAGAAACAGACTGAATCAGACACAGATGCCTCTAATGACCTTGAGAGCAAATTTAAGTCATAAATATATATCATTACTAATCCAGAACCACATCTTGGTGTTTGTTTGCATCATATACAGTAAATATGTACATAAGTGTCGTTTTAAACCTCATAAGAAAAGGCCAAATTTGTCTCATGATTCATCAAAACTGTTAGAAGGTTAGTCTAAGGAGCTTTAGGGGACCTAGTTCAATCATTTCAGCATGAGGATATTTCTGTTATCATTTCCATTTTAAGAGATTTCCACTAATAGTAAGGTTGACAATATCAATGTGGTCATTTGTGTTATGATCCTGAATATTTGGATTTTTTTTAAATGTCATATAAAGTTTATTTTTAAACATTTAAAATGGGTTTGTTTTTGTTTATAACAAGTGTTCATTTCCAAGAGAAATCCTAAGACTCAAAGATCAATCATTCACTGTTACCTGTTAAAGACTCTCTCACACTGGTGAGCAGTCAGTTCAGATTTTAGACACAAACCAATAATATCCAAATATTCACAAGAAAGAGTGCATCAAGTTTTATTGTTATCAAGAGAAAACCTCAGTGTTAAACCAGGAGAGAAACATTTTTCTTTGGACTGACAAATGAAGGTTTTTTATTTTACAGATCTGACTGATTGTGGGCAACTTATCAGTTTTATTTTTACATTTATACACAAACTCACAAGGTCAAACTGCTCACATGTTACTCAGAAGCAGAAAAAAAGGAACATGTCAAAAGAGTTTTCAGTCCTCCACATCACAGCAACAACAAAAGGCCTTGGCCACACGCCGAAAGAATTTAGAAATCCGCCTCAGGATCTTTCTCCCCCGTCCAGAGGAGGCAGAGGCAGCAGGAGTGGAGTCTGTGGAAGTTTCTACATCAGATAAAACTGAGACATGGTCATAAAAAGGTGCTGCAGAGCTTCTCGAGGAGAGATTCTCTTATCATCTTTTAGAAGCAGCAATCCTTTCAGAAGGTCCACAAAAGCCCTTCTGTCCTCATGTTTAGCTGCCCCTTCTTTAGGGATGATCTGGAATAGCACACAGATTCAGGTAAGCTATCAGTTCCTGACTATTCAGGCACTTCTCATGAAACTGAGCACAGAGTACCTACATCCACCAGATCATCCAGACAGCTCGGCAGGTCAATGCTGCTTCTTTGGGTTAATATCATTGACCACTGCGTTTTCTTCAGGTGTCTACATGAGCCAGACAGGAACTCGGTGAAACACCCAGCTTGAAGCATTAGGCTGGCCCAGAGCCTCCACCACAGTCTTCATAAAATGTACAACTAACAAGAAGGTGGGGTAGATCATAAGATAGGTTACTCATTCTGATAGATAGAAAATATACGTGTAAATAGGCAGTATCTCATTCTTTTAGTAAATATGGACAGAAATCCTTGAACTGAGGATGAATAAAGGATAGTCATTCCTTCACATTAGAATGATCTAATCTGCTTTCAATTGGCTTGTCTGGCTCAGCTATTCTTGGTTTTTTAATTCCGAAAAAATGACAAGAAAAATTGAAGATATTTCACTGGAAGTATTGTGTGAAAGGAAATTTCATCTTTTTGCTTTTGCTCTTTGGAGCTAATAACAGCTGCTACTGATAATAGCAAGCCTAGCATTGTGCCAATGAGAAAAAAGAAAATTTGAAGAAAACATCTTTTTTTTAATTTCATTTTACAAGTGAAAGCAAAGGATGACTTTCAGCATAAAAAATGCAATATTTTAGCTCTCTAACACCTCATATTTAAACATTTAAAGCAACGCTTCTCCCATATATCTTTCTGTTTTTTAGCCTATAAATTACCTAAATAAATCAACAGCAATATTTCATCAACTTTGAAACAAAGAAGTTTGGTAATCAAAGAAGTTTGGGGTTGTGCTGCGTTCCAGTAACCTCGGAAGTCGGATGTCGGAAGATGGTCGCCTACTGTTAGTCGTTGTTAGCTGTTGTTTACGATTGTCAGCTATCGTTAGCTGTTGTCAGCTGTTTTTAGCGGTTGTCAGCAGTTGTTGTTTGTTTCCCGAGTTGGAAATCTGACTTCCGAGGGGGCGTTCCAGATGAATTTCCGAAATTCCAAATACAACTGGAGCGCAGCATTAGTGACAGGTTTAAATTATCTGGTTTAGATGTGGAAAAGGGGGAGTTTCTGCATCAACTTGAGCCTTGAATCTCCTCTCAGAGAACTCCAGGGAACGCCCTGGAGAGACCTGACTGTGGCAAAGTGACGTCTGTATTTCTCTGTATCTGTTCTGTAAAGTGGGCAAGTGTGCAGGAAGTGATAAACATCTCCCCTTCACTCTTTCCTACTCTTATCCACTCCCACCTCCTTTTGATCTTTTCACATGTTACTTTTTCTCAAGAGAAAAAAAAGACTATATTCCTGGTGAGGTCACACTTCAAGTTCACTCTGGTATCATTCATTAACATAATGATGACTTTAAAAATAAATCTTGATGTTAGTGACAATAGTTACGTATCTATGACTCATTCTTGACATCACAGCCTTGTCTTTTGCACCATAATTAGTGTCTTGCGTTAAGAAAGGACCATTTCAAGCTGATGCTTATTTTAAACCGCATGCCATATGAACCCTTAAGTGATCAATCACACAGCACTTTGAAGAGGATGATACAAATTCCCCTGTTTGTGATCCTTCAAAGTTCACCCAAACAGCTCCAGCCGCATTATAATGGATCTATTTTTAAGCTTATTGTTTGGTGGGATGCATATTTTAGCACAATCCCAAGAGTATTATAGAGAAAGTGTGTTAATGTCGCTGAAACATCGGTGCAAAATCACACCCAGCAAACAACGGAAACAATTATTCTGTATTTTGCACTCAAGCTCTGCAAATGTAATGATTTACCCAAAGGTTGATTGAGCTGAACCAGACACACGGCATGTTAAACTGAATATTAGATTTCTGGAAACTCACTCACACCCCTTTGTGCTCTGAACCCTCTTGGTAACAGGTTGCATCCAGGGCTTGTGGTAGAAAAACTGAATCAACTTGGCACCTAAAAGCTTCAATTGAATTGTATTTGTGCATTTCTTGAGTTGTTTTTTTTTCACTCCTTCAGCACACATTTATTTCACTGGACTGCATCAGCCAAACTGAAGCCTCTCTGTGTGAAATCTGCCAGTCCATATATATGCCAGTGAGGTTACTTAGTGACTCAGCTTACTGTAGATCCAGGAAAGTTGATTTAGAGGTGGGGTTTGACAGATAAAGTGCAAAACTCTTGTGTAAAGGTCCTTACACACAGCGAAATGGCGGAGCGAAGTGAAAAAGTGAGACGAACATGCGAAAATATTCGCCAGTCCGAAAAATCGCTTTCCCCTATACACACCGGGCGCGAAGCGAATATGCGTATAAATTTTGCAAAGCGAAGTTCTACCCCCCGAAATTCCGCCAGTATTTTAGAATGTCCCTCAGGCAATTTCATGACCTCCTCCAGCAGCTGACCCCACGGCTGGAGAAGCAGACAACTAACTACAGAGAGCTAATTGGTCCAGAGGAGCGGCTAGCCATGTGTCTGAGGTAAGATTAAAATAATAGGCAATATTCTATATGAATGAGACAAAGCCCCGTTTTCTTGAAAGCTCTGTGCTTGATAAATGAATATCATCAACAACATGACTTTTGATTGGCCAGAGGTCTAGCAGGTCCAGACATTAGCCTGCGAATCTCTGAAAAATTCGACACAAGAGCCAAAAAATTAAAGTAGCTTTTCGCCCCACGGAAAAATCGCAGTCGGTGTGGAAGCTTGCATTGACTTTATGCTGTTTTAAAAAAAGGCAAATAAAGGCGAATAATTCGCCTGGCGAATTCGTGCCTGGTGTGTAAGGACCTTAAGACTGTTAGAGATATTCAGGATATTGTCATCAGGCACTGATATTACTGTACCTGAAAGCTCTGAAAAAGTTTTGCGTCACTTTGAAAAGCCCAGCTGTCCATGAAGAACAACACGACACATATATGTCAGATTCTAACAAGGTAAACTAAACATCCATTCCCCCCTCAGCCTCCTCTCTGTAGCTACACTTAGGGGGATCCCCAGGTGCTTTCATGCCAGATGGGAGATGTAATCCCTCTGGTGTGCCCTTGCTCTTCCCTGAGGTGTCCTCCCATCCAGGTGTGCCTGGATCACTTCCAAAGGACACAGAAGTGCAGAACTACCCATTTTGCATAAACACATGGAAAAAGTATTTTAACAAGCAGCATCCAGGGTGTGTTTCCACCTGAATATTGCATGAAATGAAAGACAGCAAGCGGGGGAGGGAAGTCAGCATCAGTCATCGAGATAATACAAAGAAAGTGGCATCTCATAAAGGTTAGACTGCAACATGAGCTTCTTGAAGAGGTCAAGGCTGTCAGGTGTGCAGCCTGGAAATATGAAAAACAGAGATTTCATACCAATTTATCCCAAAATAAGTGGAAGATAAGTGTCTCAGTAACAGCTGGCATCTATTAGATCATTAACATGTTAACCCCTTGCTGTTGCCCTCTGAAATAATGATGCCTTGGTATCTTTTTTCTTGTTACGATATAATGTTATTTTTTGCCAGCCTATAATAGCTGGTGCCTGATGTGGAGCAGTCGGTTTTGTTTCTCTCAGTGCTTCAGTCATAGTGCAAAAAAAGAAGACCAAAATTTTAACTCTTCTCATATCTACAGCTGAAATAAGACAAACTCACATACAATACCTTAGCTTTCCCTATATGGGGAGGTTGCTTGTTGCCTTGAGGCAAATATACAGGAGACATTTTAGGTCTAGTTTTGCCCTGGAGTCTCAGCAAAAAACAACAACAACAAAAACAAAAACTAAACCCATTGTTTTCATTTTTTGGTCTTTTATGAGTGAATACTTGGTGTGGAGAGGACTTAACATTCACATGCCGTCCTGCTCCTGTCATAGGCTGCAGTTTTGTTTATTTAGGTTTTAGACTCTTTATCAGATAAGAATAAAAGCAGCTTTAAACAAAGCAAAAATCATAAATTCAAACTAACTATTCAAACAAACTAAATTCAAACTCAAATTGCTACTGCTTGATTAAAATCACAAACTAACTTGACGAGACCAACATGAAGCAACAACACCTGCTTCTGACTCTGTGGAAACACTTTCAAGCTGAGTAAAATGTGTTAAACACATGTTTGATAATCCCATGTTAAAATCTGTATGACACCAAGAAAGCAGAAGAATCCTAAAGTAGCTGGAAATAAACCCAGGAAACACACACACACGCTGATGCGTCATAATATCTAACTGTGACCATACTCTGCTTTTCTAAACTTTATCATTTTGGCTGAGAGGTGCCAGAATCAGGCCAGACACAACAGTGATAATACAACAGGTGAGGTTGGCATGGAAGTTGCCAAAGCATTTAGTTGTGTTTAGTGACTTATTGGCCATCTGGAAATCGTGAAAAAGCCGGAAAGGATCGGCTGAATTTGTGCTTTTAATCATGAATTGTAAATGCATCTTATCCTCATACTAATATTAGATAACAATACTGATTTTTAATATATCTTTTTCAGTGTTTTTTTTTCAGTATACAGGCAAAATCTCAAAGTAAAGTCATCACGGTTGATAAGCGTTAAATATTCCACGATTTCCTCGAAGTACCCAGAAAAAAAAACTTTTACGCGCGCTTGGAAACCGGAAACTTAGTGGATCACGCGAGTGTAGGAAGCGTTTACTTTGTCACAGGTGGACAATTTACCGATTCTTTCAAGAAAGCGACTCTGAGCTGTTCTTGCTTTTTTGTTCCAACTTATTCTCATGAGACCCTCATCGACTGTCGCCAAATGCGCCTCTGGACTGAAGGAGCCGAAGTGACTGATCATGTTTTGATCATGTTTGGACCTGTCTGTTGGAGTGGACCAACATGGAGACTCTGAGACTCTGAGAAAGTCACCAGATAAGGAAGAGAGTGTGGTCAGACGGAGATAAGTCGACAAAAATGTTTTATATTTATTGATCCTGTCCTCAATACAAGTGGTATGAGGAATCTGTCTCTCCATATGGACGTTTATGAACCTGGATGTCTCTGGACCGTTCAGAAGTCTCCATGCTGAGGACAACAGAGTGAAGGATGTGACTGAATCTGGATCCAGATGATGGGATATTGAAGGATGAAGAAAACAGAAGTCTCCATGCTGTTTCCGGAAAGGATGAAGAAAACAATGACCTCCTTCTCTACTCAAAGGTAGGACATATTTTGATATTATTATAAAGGTGGGCCTGCTGTGACTGTTTATGCTGCTCTGGCTGTGTGTTCATTTGGTGATTGTGGACTCCACTGTGACTGTGGATGAAGCCTCTCATTCATTTGTCAGTCTGTGAAATGTGAAGGCCAACTGTCTGCAGTGTAAATAGTTCAGAGAAATGACTAAATGCTCTGTGTTTTTGCCTGTTTTCATATAAACTTGTTAGCAGTGTGTGCTGGTGTTTTTCACAGGTGTGATGAAGTTACTTTAAAATGCTTCAGAGCTCTGTGCAGGGCTTTTTATACATCAAGGTAACCTTTAAGCTACTGTTACATGCACCACAGCTGTGTGTGTGTATGAGTGTGTGTGTAATGCTTTCTTCAGCTGGAGGCAGCCTAACTGATTTAATGAGCAATTTGGAGTTTCACTGTAAATGCTGGTGTGTACTAAGACTTGCACCTGGGCTATTTGCAGTACCCTTTTGTTATCAAGCTGTTTGCAAGTTCTGTATCTGTGTGCACTGCTGTTTGTCCCAGTTTTTGGTGGAGTTGTTGAGCTTGTATTTTGGATATGATACGAAGAGATCTTACTTATTTGTTCATTTTATATTATTTTCTTGTCTTAGTCCATCAAGTTTGACTCTTTCTTTTTATCATTTTTATCTTTTTATCTCCGGTGTTTCCCGAAGGTAGCTCTTTCCTCACGCAATGGCTCGGTGTCAGGCCATGTCTCTTTAACAATATATCTTAAATTCTCGCTCTATGTGCGCTTGTGTGTGTGTGTGTATGTGTGGGTGAATAAGGGTGAATGTGTGTCTTTTTGTGTGTGTGGGTCCATAGATGGGAGGGTCGGATTTTATTGTTGTTTTTAGCCTCTGTGTGGCATTTTGAACTACATTTTTGTCTGAAAAGTGCCATATAAATATAGTTGAATTTGAGTATCTTTATAATTAGCTTTTAAATTAATGTCCAAGCTGCATTCAGGGGAGAATATATTTTAAAAGTATAAATATATTTTACCACCACAGGTTGTTTTTAGGCTCTCCTCACACGAGGACCGCCCTGTATTGTCTTGGCGTCGGCACCAAAACATGTATCGCTCTGTACGCATCGTATTGTACATAGGCTTAGTGCATTTACAGGACAACGCAAAATCCAGTAGTACATACACCCGGCATATAAGGTCACGGTCTTTTCCGGACTTATCTATACCAACTACGGCATGGAGAAGATGCAGAGTCATGGTCAAATACGCGTCTCTGTGTGTCAATATCACCAGATCGATAGTTTATTTTACCGTGTCTTACAAATTCGTACTCGTGTAAAGACGGCCTTAATGTGTTGCCAGCTTATGTCACAAACTTTGCTGAGGTTAAAATGTGTTCTACCTCGAGAATTTCTTCACTGTCATCAGTGTTATGGTAATATCTTTAGCTTTTACTGTTGCCATTTTAGAGGGATAAATTTAGGTTCAAAGTGATTGAAAAAGAGGCAAATGCTGGCGCTGTTGTTTGATTTCAGTCCATCAAATATATAGTGGACTGGTGCTGCTGTAAGGCTGGCTGTGGAGAGGATGGAGCAGCTTGTTACTGCTGATGTTGGTTTCAAATGTCTATCTGTTCAACCACAGTACAGATTTCATTGTGTGTTTAAACTATCTTGTTTTCGTGTGTGTAAAACAGGCAGTAAAAGAACAGATTTAACAAAAAGTTCAACCATGAAGAGAAAGAGAGAAAAAAGAAAAACAGAAAACACAAAAGAAGTACAAACCTTGTACCTTAACAGCAACAACTGCTTCAGCCAGTGCCGCTGATCAAATGTCTGGCAGTGAGGGGGTCAGTGCAGTGCTGTCTCCACTGTGGGCAGACATCCACAGTCACCCACTATTGTGCAAACAAGAAGTCTTCTGTCAGTCCTGTGTGTGTGTGTGCTGTATGCCCACTCCTGTATTTCCATTCTGTGGTTTAACAGCAGAGATACAGTAAAGTTTGTGTATCTTATTATCAGTATATTGTGTGTGAGGTCAAATACTGCAGCTGTTTCTACTATAGCAAGTAACACTGAAGCACATTTCCTGAGTGTTTGTGTTTTATATTACTGCCGACACAAGCCTTTAAGCTCACCTGCTGTCTCCCAACACTTCCTCCACTTCCTCTTACTAAACACTTAATACAGAATAAGTTGTTGGTTGTTGCCTCTGTTTGTTATCAGATTAAGTGACTTAAAAATGTAGAAACCAAAGAGGGGAAAACAAAAAAAAAGGAATCAAAAGTTCTCTGTTGTATTTCAAGCAGACGGCACTCATATCCACCTTCTACAGAAGCTCAATTTTGGGTTTTGGCCACCAGTCAAAGATAACAGCTGTACACTTTGCAGGTTCAGTGAACTCCGGCAGCCCCTGGCAGCAGGTTACTCCTGTGGGAGGGGATCATAATTAGAAACGTTTTGGATCATCTCGAGAAAAAGAGCAGAGATTTTGAAGGAAAGAAAGAAAAGGGTGTGGAGAGATAATGTGGTAGGAAGAATGAATTAAAGAAAGGAGTGCGTGTCAGGGGCTTGTAGAAATGAAACGAATGTCCACTGGGGTTCTATGGCCTCCAGTGCTCCATTTTTTACCTTCAACAGAGATTTTCACTACAGTCTTAAACACAGTAATTCTTTGAGTGACAGATAACCCTGAAGGCCTGACAACCAGCCCCACAGGGATGTTTCCCTTACTGTAAAAAGACAATTAGACCAACTTACAGGCGTGATTGCGCTGCCCTCATCACTTCCCTTTGTTTTATTGTCCTCTCACGAAGAAGTGAAACTCGCAGCCTCAAGCCACATAGACAGTTAGAATATAACAATAAGTGTCACTCTCTCCCTCTTTTCCTTACCCCTTGTCACTCCTTTGGTATTTTCTACATGGCCTCAGGTGATGCAGTAGAGTGACCCATTAGAAACTCACTTTATTCACCAACTAACAGCTTAACTCGCATCAGTAACTCCTAATGCCCCGGGGCGCTTCTGCCACTGCCCTACTCCTTCAAGAGACAGATACATACACTGCATGGAATTTTGATATGTTGGTGCAGGAGTCGCCAATTATAACTGTTATCTTCTCCACGCTGCTGCAAAGAATGGTTTGGATCGGTGTTGAATTGAGAGAGGGGCGCGAGACGACACCTCAGGAGAAAAACGGGATTTGAAAACATTGAGTTACATGATTTGATTTGGTACAAATTTTGGTGTAACACAATCCAAAGCTGATTCAAGCAGAAACCTTTAATCAACAGTGCATCAAATTAATGAATAATTAAGAGGTGTCGTAATGAGGAACCCGAAGACAATTCTCACTCAAGTCATGAAATTCTCTGTCATTAATGACAAACTCAAACCCACAGCACTAACTCTGCTTTAATTTAAAGATGTAGCTTTAACAAACATGCTGCAGCAGAAAAAGCAAATTCAGAGGACAGAGACCAGGTTAACAAAATATAACAAAGACATGATGCAACCGTAGTCCTGAAACTGCCAAAGCTCAAAGCATAGAAAACTCTGTTAAGGGTTTTCTACGTAATATTTTCAAGTTCAGCCTTGTGACAAAAAAGGAAATCAATACAAGGAGTATTTATCTGTGTCTGTTTTGAGGATTTTAACATGGCAGAAAATATCATGTATTGTTGCAATGCCAACTCTTAAAAATAGTTCAGTGAGATCCCTTTTCATCAGATGTACCCTTTCTGATATGTGTGTCACGAGAATTCTCCTCAGTGCTCAAGAGGGTATGTATGAATGAGTGCACCAAATGGTAAATTAGATTTGAATCATGATCAAAGATGCTTGTCAGTAACACAAATTAACACAGAGTTGATCAAAACAGTCGCATTTGGAAATGGAGTTTTAGTCCACCTTGTAATATTATATGTCAGTTACATGTTCAGCTTTTCTAACACTGTGAAAGTATCACCAGAAAGTTCTGGTTATACTTTCACAATACAGGATCCAACAGAGCATTGGTCTAAAAGAGGTCTAATAGACGTCTAAATGTAGCCTAGATGACTGGTCTAAAATCAGGCTACCACTGGACTAAAAATTAAAGTTATCTAGATGTCTTAATTTAGACCATGTTTATACTAGCTGGCTAACAGAGCTATATCTGTAGTACACTGTATATTGTTCAACGGCTCTAATTATTTTGGCTAAGTACTTGGATAAGAATAAGAATAAGAATAACTTTAAAGTGCAACATCTCCTGCTGCCAAGGCGGACTGTACAGGTAATTTGGGGAGCACACTCCTCATCCTGCTAGAGACTCAGCACTTTGTTTAAGGACACTTCAGCGAGCTGAAGGCTTTTCATCATGTTGGTTTCTAGCCGGTTCTTATACTTGACAGAAGATGTCCCCCTCCACTTCCCCACCTATGCTCTACATTGTATCTTCAGTGGGGTTCATTTTGTCTTATAAAAGCATTTTAAGAGGGTTTTGTCCTTCTTTGAGAGAGCTCGAATAAAAATATGTGATATTCTTTGAGCTAATGTAAGAATATTAGCTTGCAAGATGTACTTCAAGGATGCAGTTTGGAAGTAATAGCAGATACTATCTTCTCCTGCAGGCATGTTGCACTAATGAAGTGATCCTCCACCAGCTAAAAGATTAGTGTCAATAAATGCACTCTCATTTCAACCTTTGGATTGGACATTTGATTTGTGTTGCAGCTTGGTGGTAAACTGCTTTTGGCTGAAGGTGCGATATGTAAGACATCTACTGAATTAAATCACAAGATAATCTTGATGTATTATGAAACATTAAGGAAACTTGCTTTAATGAAATCCTGTCTTCTCTGACCACAATACTGAAGCCGGCATATCTCTCCTAAAGTTTTGGTGGTCAGGAACAGTCTATATTTGTTTTGACTTGTGAGGGTAGGCACTTTGAAGGCAACCCCACACTCCTGTTTTGGATGCCCTTCCACTTGCCAGATATGAGATCCATCTCAGAGGAGCTCCATGACAACACCAGAGCAAAACTATCATAAATATTAGAAATGTTTTTTTTTTTATTTGGAGATGGAGAGGTTGGAGTGCAGAACTTGCCAAGAGTAAGCAATAATATCATGTGGTAACCCAAGTGAGTGTCAGCTCTATGGGGAGGAGAAAGCACTGGTGCTTTATTTCATAGTATTGGTAAAGCATGATCTCACATGTCGAATTAATGAGCTGAAAGGAGTCACATTTCACTTATGCCTGTTGACACTGTAGCAAAAACATGAATAGGATCTCAACCTTCTGTAACAATCGGCTTACTATACATTAAACACAGTAAAACCAGGAATTTATGAGAAGACTGTGTGAACTACTCAAATCTGATTGGTCAGTCATTACATTTAAAAGTCTGCTATATAAAAGATCGCTGTTATGTAGGGTTGCAAAGGGGTGGAAAATTCTGGGTAAATTTCCAGAAACTTTCCATGGGAAGTTAAGCTGGGGAACTTTGGAAATATTCCAAATTGAAAACTTTCCATGGGAATTTACAGAATTTATGGGGATTAACTGGAAATTGGGGGTAATTTAAACAAACTGTATCATATCCAAGCATAAATGTAAATATTTTTGTTTTGTCATAAGCAGACGTTCATGCAAAATAATACAGTTAAAAAAACATGAACTTTTACAAAAGCTTGTTGAAACACTAATGCGATGGCATGAACAGATATATAGTTGGTTAAACAACTGGAATGGTCTTCAAAATATTTGACAATTCATGTATACATTATTGTCTGGTTACAGAAAACTGTCTTGCAGGAGTCAGAAGAAACAGCATCACATTCGAGGTAGCTACCACCACCATAATAAACTAGCCCCTTAAATGGTCAATAAAATGAAAAATGGCTTACATTAAGCATCTGTATGTATTATTTTTTAAGTTAAATATTAATACTATTATAGATCAAATATATTTACACCATAATATTATCAAAACTTATTTGACTTTATATAGTTCATGGGCTCAAATACCTTGTGCTTTGGGCTCGAAAGTGTGGCCTCCAGGGTTCAAGAAATCATCTGTGTATGTGATGGAGAAAAGCACAGTGCATGTAGGGGGTGTGGCCTCAGTAGCCCTGCAGTACGCAGTGTGCTGTGTGCATGTGATTGAGGAGTGTACTTGCATTAAATCTGGTTGTTTTAGCCAAGATTATGCTACAATGTATTTTCCCCAACTATATTTAAGTTCCCTGTTGTGGGCCAACCTTCAATAAATTTCAGATTTATTTCCGTTAAATCCCATAGAAAGTTTCCAACTTTGAAAATTCCTGGAATTTTGCAACCCTACTGTTACATAAACCAGATTATCCCTGCTTTAAACCAACCAAGGTTCTGGCTGGCATATAATTTTATCAGCAGAAAGAAGTTTGTTATGTTTAATGTCAGCAGGTTCATATATGTAATATGAGTCATTTTTCATTGCTGCCATGCAGAAAAGAAAGGAGGTAAACACAGAAAAGCTCTATGATGTAGAAACCAGTCATATAGTAGAAGTTACAAGTTAACACGTCTGCCGTATGTCAGTTTGAAAGAGTGTTTAGCAATAAAGGAGAGGCTGTCAGACCTTGACAGTTACGAGGCAGAAAATCTCAATCAGGTGCTGCGGTGATTCATGCACTTCTGTTCACCTAATCCTAGTTCATTATCTGCAGAGGTGTTCACTTAAACATGAGTATTTAAGACTGAGAGGGCTTCATTTCAGAAGGTTACTGCTTTCCCACTGCTATAACAACACTTTGAAACTTAAAATAAGAGGAACAATTTCTTGATGAAATCATATTTCAGTCTATCAGTGAATGTGTGAATCATTGTTTTGTGTCAAACTATTGATATATTTGGTAAGAGGGTAATCTGGATGGTATTCAGCAAACAGGTTGTCCATGAAAACCCTCATTTTGTTGCAAGTACTGTAACCCCTTCCATATTTTGAGCCCCTCTCTAATATCATAATAGTTTTCCAACATGGTAATCATCAAATGCCCACTCTTTTTTGTTTGGACTCCTCCGTGTCTGCCTTTTCCCCTCAACAAAAAGAAGAAAATAGACTGTCTGCCTCTAATGTGTTGGACTCATCGACAGATAATACTGAGGCAGCGGGGTGTGGTTTTTGTGTCTGTCTGGGTAGGAGGCGTCAGTGGAGGCACAGCGCTGCAGTCACAGCAGCAGGTAAATTGGTAATTAGTAATCTTGTCTATTTATCTCCCCTGTTGTGAGGATGGAGCCTCTCTCTTGGTGATTATGTGCGGCAGCGGCATGAGCCTCAAGTCCTGAGTTGTTTTCGTGCAGAGTGGCAAGATGAGCCTCAGTTGTGTTGTTTATATTTAATAAAATCAGCCGTGTACAGCAACTATTCCCATATGCGCCTGCTTCTGCAGCTCCTAAAAACATCAGACCCTGTTACTCCTCACTGAAGGTGCGTTTCATTTCATTTATGTCGCTCCCCTGTCCTCCAACGACCCTTGGAAATTGATTGGGTCCGCCATCATAAATGACATCTCAATTTTCTTAATTCTGCTCGGAGGAGCGAGAAGAGCAGAGGCTTGATTAGAGTAAAGGGATCGTCCTAAGTGGAGACCTTTATCAGATAGGCACATTGGAAATGAATTAATGATTAGATGGAGTAAGTGATCTGATGCGTTAGGCTGCGCTGAAATTGCCACACCACAGCTGTTATATCCAACTAGCAGCTTGGACAGACAAGCAAGGTGGAGTCTATTATCAAGTGTTATTTGTTTGTCTAATTTAAGATATTAGATGAGTGTTAAGTATAATTAGGGAGCCATAAAATGAACCTTTACTATCTTCTAGTCTTCTTTTTTCCTTAAGCTCCCCCTTTATTACTCATTTTAAGTGCATGCCTCATTGTCTTGGAAACCAGCAGAGTCCTTTCCCTTATTTTCACCCTGTAAAGGAAAACTTAAAGGCAGATTAAGTATTGAAATACTTTTGTTTAAAATGTTGAAAATCTTGACAAATCTTGATAAATTTGTACACTGTTTAATTTTTTTACTCTGTTCTATGTACTTTTCACTCAAAACTAGATTAGAAAACATTTGCTTTAGAGCGTGATTCAGATTGTGTTTTCATGTGTCTCCTACGAATAGATCCACATTTTTCTTGGGTATTTTCCTGGCTGCATGGCTCCCCTTTAAATCCATAGGCTATCTAGCTCTACTACTGTATGCCCTGAATAAGTAGTCTCACCTTTTGAAAACAGCAGTTGTATTTTGTCGGTCAATTTGTGTACCTGTAGTAGCAGAGCCCACAGTTAGTAATGGACAAGGACATTGTGGAAACTGTGAGAGGACTGAGAAACCCTGGTGCAAGTATCCATGCTAGGCCAGACAAACAAGGTGTGTTAATGTCTGTAGGCCTTGTTGAGCCAATTCCTGAGGCACATTTTCTTTCCAATCCAAAGGGCAACTTCCTTTAAACTCAATAAAACACAACAATCTTTTGTTCTAGCCAGTGATCTGTTCCAGAAAATTATACAACTTTTAAATACCTTTAACTGCTTTATACCCATAAATGTTTCATGTGTTCAGTTGTAAAGTATTCTGTTCCTGCTAACAAGGGTATAATTTTTTCATTTGAAAATTTATAATTCATTGGAAAAGTAAACAACAGTTTTAGGTGGTTCCTTCTCAACAATTAAGGGATGTGCTCAGAATCTAAAAAAGGAACCAGAGGGCACAACTGAAACGTCAAAATCGAGGAGGGAGGATGCTTTTAGGAGCCCCTTATGTAAGCCCTCACTGTGTTGGATACTCCCTAGTTTGAATAAAACGTTTCCATACGGATCTTTTCATCAATTTGTCAAATTGCAAACAATCCTAACCAGCTGTGACGAGGATTGTAACCTCAGTGGAAATGATGGCAGATCTTCACAGTATCATTGTGCACAAAACATCCATTTTGTCTGTATTTATTTGTCTTATTTTTTATACTTCTTTAAAAAAATTATTTTGCAAAGGGCGTGCACATGTTACACTGTCGACCTTTTCAACTCCATCTGCCGACCGCTGAAAAGCTGCTGGGCTGCTTTTGAGATTTTGAAACCCCTTCTGTTCATGTTGACTGTTCACAGCAAGATTAAAAAGACACCCCTCTTCTGTTTGGCGTACTTAGACCCAGCTCCTTCTATACAAAAAAATATGAACCCAAAATAGGAAGGGAACAAACAAGCCAACAATAAAATCCAAAGAAACAATCCACAGCAGCTCAATCCATCATTTGCATAAAAGTGTGGAGAACATCCCTTTTCCAAATTGCTCCTGAGAGAGCGGGCTTAGTTTGATGAATAAGGATCAGCCTTTGATTACAATCCCTTCAAGATCCATTAGACACCAAACATAATCACTTCCTTTCATTCCCTTTCCTCATATTGATATTTGCACATGTCTCCCCCCCTAGGTGTCACTCTCAGGGGGAACCTAAACAACTCCTCCCATCCTTCAGGCCTTAGACCAAAGCCGTGAATCGTGAAGCTCTCCTTGAGAGATAAAAGAGGATCACCTATTTGTGTGGAAAATCGCATTTAACACAGCTTAAATAGGATCAATAAAGACACTCTGAATGTTGCACTAGTGTGGTTATGCAATCGAGACCAACTTGTGTTTACCAGGAGTGTGTGTTATAAAGGGCTTGTATGGATGTCTGTGGAGAGCAATTTGAAAGATAACTAAACATGTACGAAGAACATCTAATTTGAGATGTACGAACCAAGGCATATATAGATTATTTAACTCAGGTAGCCCTTCTGAGCTGTTGTTTGATACAGCAGTGAGATAAATAAACATGTGCTCCTAAAGACACACAAGTGACATACATGTACAATTTCTGTCTCCACTTACCGTAATCATACTTAATGTGCTCAGATTTCATACAGTCATTACAGTCATTTGCTGAGTGAGTCATTTGTTGTCATTTGTTGATTTGTGAGTGCAACCTCCTAATAAGACAGGAAGAAATACCCAGTCTACATACAATTTCATGGATGTGTTTGTGTTTGTCTTCGTTTTCCTGCAAGATCAGGCTAATCTAATTCAGAAAAGTAATGATCTCAAAGCCAGTCAATGCTACTTTCCTACAGCTTTGGTTTAACACATCTATTTGTGTGTATTCTACCCTGTGCCAAACGTCAGTCACCATTAAGTGCATTGTGCAAAAAATGGATGTATTTATATAAAAGTTATGATTTTCTCTTTTCTCCTGAAATCATTTATGGTTTGAATTTTATGCCTCCGTTTCAAATATTGTACCCTAACGTTTTTTCGGCACCTTTTTAATTAAGTTTTCAGTTTTTAAAGGTCAGTATCCAAAAGTTATTCATTCAGAAAGATTTTTACCAAAATGTTCTTTTTTGTAATAAAAATATAGACCAAGAAAAGTGAAAGCACTGACTCTTAAGTTTTGGTTTGATAGAAAAAAGTCAAAGTCCTCCAGGCCTCTACAAGTTCAATGTCACATAAGCGGATACTTTGGATTCTCCTCTGGGTGTTATGGTCCAAAATGTACCAAGATATCTTTCCTTGAAGTTTTTATTGGTTGCCCCCAATCAAAAATCAATAGTTATTTTGGGAACATTCTCCATGGTAAAAATAGCCAAGAGACACGCAATGGCAAACAGCTCGCTGAACCAAATGCCTCTGATCGATGAGCTCGTGAATAATGCATGTTACAGTACAACTCTGCAAAACCCCTTTAACTGTTCCTGTGCACCTCATGACCCATGCCAAGCATCTCTAAAATGGAAGGGAATGGTTGAAGAAACATGGATTAGCACACAACTACCCACACACCTACACACAAACATGCATATAACACGCAGTGGTTCTTCAAGACTATCTGGTCTAAGGCTGTTGAGGGGGAGCAAAACTGCACTTGAGTTGCACTGGCTTGTTATCGCAACAATCTCTCAACGACACATGGTGATGCCTTTTATAATTAAAACTTAAGTGGCTTTATTTCATTTATTTATTCAGGCACGGCTGTTTCCCCCCTTACACTTTCATGCTTGTTCAAATTGATTTAACTTTTGAAATTGTCACTGCAAAATAGGTTGGCTGCCGCAATTACAAAAGTTCTAATTAAAAGCAGAATGCAAATATATTCATAATTGTGTCGCTGTCTTATCTGTCTCATGGCTGGTGTTGCTTTAAAGCAGGCAGGGGGAAAATTACCCAGAGAATTCGAAAAAAGAGAGAGAGAGAAAGAGAGAGACTTAGAGAGAGAGTGAGAAAGGACAGCAAGGGGAAAGGATGGAAAAAGAAGAGAAAGCCCTGCAGTGTGATCTAATTAGCTGTCTCCGACACATGACACCGTATTCTGACATGTTAGCTGTCACAGCATCAAATAAGTGACTGGAACAATCTTTACCACAGCATCAGCCCTCCATCACACTCACACACACACACACACACACGCATGAAGAGGGCGGTCATTCTCATATATAACCGTTTACCACTAAGAACCTGGCAACATCATATTGATGATGATTGACTTCTTCGCGCCTCTGTGACATTTTGATGGAACGGAGAAGATGACTGGAAGAAGTGTAAATGCTGATTAAATGCAGTGTTGGAGAAAAGCTGGAGGTGTCAAGGCAATAGAGGACGATGCTTTACTTAAGTGCATTCATGATTGTGTTGGTGCAACTTGTCAAGTGTCGATTTTTATATAGGATAGTGACTCAGTTTGTGTAAAGTTGATGTTGTGACTCATTTGGGAAGACTTTTCCATACTCTTAAGTCAAAATTCATCTTATCACTCTGTGTTTCTCTCTTTCCCTGTCGTCTCCTACTTCTCTTGTCATTTGTTTATAGGTCAATGTTTTTCTCATCTACAAAAAATTGTCAAATGTTGTGTGTAAGCCAACTTCCTCCAGGAAAGCTGTAGCCCTGGTCAATGGTTGCTATAATGCTCTACTACCTGAATGTAAACAAGTGCAGATAACAGTTAAAGATGGTGTGTTTTAGCGCATTGTGGTTTGTCTGTTTTTTTACTCAAAAATTGAGATAAAGTTGATGGCAGGCTGTTTTGGCATATAAACTAGAGTGATATCATCATAGGCATGTGGATGTTGTCAGAACAGGCTGCTGATGTTGTCTTTGCTAATATAAACTACACTCTGCTTACTCATTTGACAGCACTGTTTTCAGTTGTGACTGCCTTGTAAGTCTCAAGTTAGTGGAGGTTTAAATTCCCATTTACATCCCCAGTTTATTCCTAAAAGTATTAAAAAAAAGTTTGCTCATTAACCTATCATTTAGCTTCTGAAAATTTGAAATCTATGTTCCTCTGAGCTCTGTCAATTTGATATTCAATATTGGATTGCTGTAACCCTCCGTCACCGGACTCCATCTTATCAAATAATTGGGTGTTTTAGATGTAGGCCCCTCATCAAATCCTGTTTCCTTCTTCAACACCACCTCCAGTGCTAGAATCGTATTGTAAGGGAGCTGTCCTGCTGTCAGCCCCACTTATTGGGGCAGCAGTCACTCAAGAGGTTGCGCGGTCGTCCAATAACCGGAAGGGTGGCAGTTCCATTCCCCCCTATTCCGAGTCTGTCTGTTGTGTCCTTGGGCAAGACGCTTAACCCACCTTGCTCCCAGTGTGTGTCCTCCACTGGTGTATGATTGTGAGTGTTGAGTGGTGGAGGTTGGAGAGGCCATAGTCGCAAAACTGGCAGCCATGATTCTGTCAGTCTGCCCCAGGGCAGCTGTGACTACTGAGGTAGTTTACCACCACCAAAGTGTGACTGTGTGAGTGAAAGAATAATGTATCCAATGTAAAGCTCTTTGAGGGTCTCTGATAAAGCGCTATATGAAATCTGATGCATTATTATTATTATTATTACTTATGAAGATGTCAAAACTCTGTCTAACCCTGAAACAAGCCTAAATGGCACTTTGACATCCCTTATAAATTTGTAAAAAAAACAATTTATCACTTGTAATTTAATCTCTAGCAATTAAAATATTATTTTAGACATATAAGGTGAAACCATGAAAAGATGTTAAAGGAGCCTAAATACTCTCATATAAAGCTTTTGGAAAAGCTTCTTGGCCCATTATAGCCATTTCCACAAATTCGTTGTGACTTTACACTCCAGTCAAGTTTTTCGAGTCATTTCTTTCTCACTTGATCCTCAAGATTTTTTTTGCATTTTTACTGTAGGTTTTTATCATTTCAGGATACAATCATGCTCTATATTCTAACCTTTAACTCTCAGTATCCTTTTCTTTTCTGTCATTTTCGCTCTGCTCACCCACCTTGTTAGAGCACGTGCTGGTTCAACAAACTTTCATCACTGATTACAGTCGTAAATCCAAAGAAGCATTGCCCTAGAAACCTGATTCTCCCTCCCCTCACTCTCCAGTCTCTCCCTAAAGCATTTCTTTGTGTTAAACTAACATTTTAAATATAATCAAATAAAGCATGTAGGCATTCAGCCATGACAGCCAAGGCAGATAATCTCACAACAACAGTGCTGTCAGTCTGTTGAACAAGCTTTATCACTGCCCTCTTACATGACTTCTCAAAGCTCCTGTGGGGAGTTTAACATTTATGGAAAGGAGTGAAACTCATATTGGTGCATTTTTTGAAACACAAAAGCAAATTAGACCATCAATGACAAGATGGATGATTTTTAAACACTTATTTTTAATTCCTGAAATTGGTATGAGGGGGTTGGTTTCAGTGGAGCTGCAGAAGAAACAGCCTCTTTTTTACAACCTCCCAAATTAAATATTCACTAAAAAAGATTTATTTGACTACCAAAACTCAGGAGGATGAGCTTGTTTGTCATGAGACAGTACTTAAGCATATAAAGGACAATATATGCACAGACTGTTTTGTCCACAGGGGGCGCCAAATTAACTGACACTAAAGTTCCTCACAGGAGCTTTAAATAGATACCTAATCTCAACAGCTGCTTCAGGTTTAGGTCTGGACCGCTTTTTTGCATGTTGATCTTAAAAAAAAGGGAAACATTTAGCTTCTCTAAAAACTTGATATCCAATTTTGATTTTTAATCAGTGACAACGCCTACCAACTTCAGCTGAAAAATAAATGGTTTTTCTATCATCTCTCAAAATGAAACCACTAGAAATGATTTGGTGCATTTGCCAAGCCAGTAAATCACGCTGCCCAGGAAATGCACAAAAAAACAGAAGAAGAGCACACAGCGTGTGTATAAAGGTTGTTTTGGCCGGACATGAGCAGGCGCCAAAAAAGCTCCTGAGTTTGTTTCTATGTGGACGGGTTGATTCCGCTTTGGACAGACTATGCAGCAGGGAGGGGTCCGTTTTGATGTGAAACTGCGAAGCTGTACCAATTCTGGACGACTGACTTGGAAAGGGAGGGGATCATGTTCTGTTTCAGTATGTGACAGTACATGTTGGCATTCATGGTGACACTCCCACCACCATGCTTGACTGTAGGCAGGACACACTTTTCTTACTCCTCACCTGGTTGCCGCCACGCACTCTGGACACCATCTGAACCAAAAACATTTATCTTGGTCTAATCAGACCACAGGACATGGTTTCAGTAATCCATGTCCTTAGTCTGCTTGACTTTAGCAAACTGTTTGTTGGCTTTCTTGTGAATCATCTTTAGAGGAGGCTTCCTCCTGTGACGACAGCCATGCAGACCAGATTGATGCAGTGTGTGGCATATGGTCTGAGTACTGACAGGCTAACCCTCCACCCCTTCAACCTTTTGAAGCAATGCTGGCAGCACTCAAACCTCTATTTTCCAAAGACGCCCTCTGGATATGACTCTAAGCACATGGACTCAACTTCTTTGGTCGACCATGGCGAGGCCTCTTCAGAGTGGATCCTGTCTTCTTAAACCACTGTACGGTCTTGGCCACTGTGCTGCAGCTCAGTTTCAGGGTGTTGGTAATCTTCTTATAGCCTAGGCCATCTTTACGTAGAGCCACAATTCTTTTTTTTTAGATTC